GGCGGCGGGACAGGCCGCGCAGGCCGGAGTTTCCGCAGAAGTTGGGGCCAGCTCCTGAAGGACGGGGCCGGGGCCCCGCGCCGCCCAGCCGGGCCGGGACGCTACTGCCCGGCTCTAGGCCCCGGGGCAGGTGCGGGGGTGTGGGGCGAGTTACCGTGCCAGGCGCTGGAAGCCTGGCACCGGGCGGGGGTGTTGGGGTGCGGGGTGCGGTTCGTCGCGACTCAGGGCCCAGAGCCTTTCCTCCCCCAGACATCCGTCACCCTCCCGGTCCAGCTTTGTTCCTTTTCCCTTTCGGCGGGGTCACTCCTCGCCCCAGCCGGTGAGAGCTAATTTCGCTCCTCCGGAAGGAATCCTAGACGTCTCCCCCTAGTTGGCCCTTTGAAAAGCAGGAAAGTCTATCTCCCAGAGACTGCCCCAGAAACTGGCTCTTTGGAGTCCTTAAAGAGTTGAGGAACTCACTAGGTCTTAAGGAATTTCCCCGGGACTCAAGTTTTCTCGTGCGTAATCAGATACCCAACAGGGGCCCTTAGATTTTACAATTCTATTAATGCTTTTTAACTTATTCCCAAACCTAGCATGATTTTTTTTTCCTGCACCCCACTCATCCTCTGCCCCCCTTTTACCATCTGTTCCAGACAGCACAAACGTTCTATCATCAGTTCCCTAGAGATGAGACTTCCTCAGCAAATTCTGTATTCTGTGCCAAAGCAGGTGGAAGAGTATCTCCAAAGGACGGAATTTTCCGTCCTTTTTCCAGTGTTGGTTACCCAGGGTGAAAATCTTAACTCTGCACTTTGATGTCCGCATTTGAGTTTATGACAAATGTTGCAGATGCCCTCTCTTGGTTGTTTTTACAGTAATTGACCCAGAACTCATTTCAGGAAAAGAGCTTCCTTCAAAATGGCAAAATAATGAAAGAGGAATTTGAACATTTTATTTTTGGATGGAAATCTGAGGATGAAAAGAGCGATTAATCCCAGCCATGTGGTAAAACCAGGAATTTGAAGAAAATGGAAATGTTGACATTTTTGTGGACATGTGTTTTTCTCCCCTTCATAAGAGGGCACAGTCTTTTCACCTGTGAACCAATTACTGTTCCCAGATGTATGAAAATGGCCTACAACATGACATTTTTCCCTAATTTGATGAGGCATTATGACCAGAGTACAGCTGCTGTGAAAATGGAGGTGAGTATTTCTTCATACATTGATAGAGAAATAGTTTATGTTCTGCTCTGGAATAAACTATAAATGTGACTTTTTTTTTTTTTTTTTTAAACACAGTAAGGGATTCCTTTAAGTTGTGCACAACTTCATATTTTGAATACATCCTTTTGAAAATTAATTTCCCCTATTAACTTAGGTTTTGTGGCCCTTGTTAGTGGATTTGCTTAAGGTAGGGTTTATTTTATATGAGACGTAGTGATGATTTTGAAATATCTTGCACCTAGCAAATATTTTGCTTCCCTGAATCAATTATGGTAGTTCCTCTGGAAATGTGAATTCTGAATTTTTCCTAATTCATTGCACATATATCCTATATTGCTTGGACTAGAAGTGCTTGAACTACATCCCTATATTTTCATAAGCACTTGTAATGTTCACCTGGCCCAGGTTTTCTGAAATAAATCCATTACTGGAAGATTTGGGGGCTGTAGTGTTTCGCTAAAAAGTGACTTTTTTTTAAGCGAGGCACTTAAGTACTCTTTCTAAGATACCTGTTAAAAGAAAGCACATGTCTGGGGAGGAGCAGAGTGGCACTAAAGATGGCCTTAGGTACCTCAGTTACCTGCCTCCGGTTTAGAGATATGCAGATTGCCAGGGATGTGTGGGAAGAGTTACCTGTGGAGACGGGAACCTGTCCTCCTGAACAGATCTGTCAGATTGATAAGAAGTCTCATGAAGGGAAGAAGACAAAGATTTTTGTAGTTTTTCTCCAGAAGAAATGTCCAGGGGTGGTAAAGGCTTTTCCCCCCTCAGAACGTTGCTAAGAGATGAAACTCCTACAATTTTAATGTAGATACTAATTTAAAAAGTGATTAGATTTGATTTTGTGCATTCAAAAGTCTTCCACTGTTGTTTAGTTGAATAGTTTTTCGACTACCTCATTTGTAGATTCAGGTCTAAAATAGCAGAGCTTTGGGAGGGATGGGGTGGCTGGGTGATGGACATTTTTTTTTTTAAGATTTTATTTATTTGAGAGAGAGAGCACGAGTGTGGGGAGGCTCAGAAGGAGAAGCAGATTCCCCGCTAAGCAGGGATCCTGATGCGGAACTCGATCCTGGGACCCCAGGATCATGACCTGAGCCGAAGGCAGTTGCTTAACCAACTGAGCCACCCAGGCGCCCCATGCAAATTTCATTTCTATAAAAATTAAACTGGGAATTTTGGTACTTTTTTTTTTTAACCCCTATTCAGACCTACCTCTCTTTCTCCTTCTCATCTGTGCCATGAATACCAAGTCTCCTCTCAACAGTTTTTACGTGGCTCTCAACAGTTTTCACCAGTTGCTCCTCTCTGGTGATGTCAAAGTGATTTTATTAAAACGAAAATCCAGGGGCGCCTGGGTGGCTCAGATGGTTGAGGGTCTGCCTTTGGCTCAGGTCATGATCCCGGGGTCCTGGGATCGAGCCCTGCATCGGGCTCCCTGGTCAGTGGGGAGTCTGCTTCTCCCTCTCCTTCTCCTGCTCCCCCTGCTTGTGCTTTCTCTCTTGCTCTCTCTGTCAAATAAATAAAATCTTAAAAAAAAAATCCACACAGTCCACTTTGGGGGTAACATTTTTCACCATTTCCCTAGAGCTAGAAGAATAGATCTGACTCTAGCATGACAGCCCAGTCTCTTCATATGGGACCTTGCCTTCCTGTCCAGCTTCCCCACTTGTCCCTTTAGACGTTACACACTCTGCTTCAGCCAAACTGACCTCTTTGTAGAACTCACATGCATATTACTCTCTCTCACTTCTGTACCTTTGTACACATTGTATGCATTGCTTCCTAGGCTCTCTACCTATCGTTCACGTGCTCCGTTTCTGCAGGTCTCAGTTAAAGCAGTAACTCTGCTCATTGAGGCCTTCTTTCACCTTTCTCCCAAGCATATGTAAGCTGCTCATTTTCTATACTCTGATAGTACTTAAAATATACAATGGTTCTTACACTTATTATGCTGTATTGCAGTTATTTATGTGGTTCTCATTAGATTGCAGGTGTGTTGAGAGTAAGGCTGGTGTTTATTCATTTTTTTCCCAGTGCCTAGTACAGTGCCTCGGAGCATTGTAGATGCACAGTAAAAGCTGAATAAAGAAAAGGTGGTGTTTCCTGTTCTAATAAATCAGCAAAGAGAATTTTACCTCCAAATCTTTACTTTCCACCTCTATCATCTGCAGTATTCAAGTGAAAGAAACTCTGATATTTTTAGGTGGTTTGCTTATCACCCACTTTGGATCTACCTGAGCCTAGTTCTAATGAAGTGTATTAGTTGACATCCTCTATATTCTTTCCCATATTAGCATGATACATGTTTCTTAGAATTTATTTAAAGAATCTTATTTTGGGGGCACCTGGGTGGCTCAGTCGGTTAAGCATCCAACTCTTGGTTTCAGCTCCGGTCATGATCTCTGGGTCCTAGAATCTAGCCCCATTGCAGGGCTCCCTGCTCAGCAGGGAGTCTACTTGTCTCCCTTTCTCTCTGCCCCTCCCCCTGCTCACATGTGCTGTCTCTCAAAAAAAAAATAAATGTTAAAAGATTTTGGGGGCGCCTGGTTGGCTCAGTTGTTAAGCGTCTGTCTTCGCCTCAGGTCATGATCCCAGCGTCCTGGGATTGAGCCCCGCATTGGGCTCCCTGCCCCGCGGGGATCCTGCTTCTCCCTCTCCCACCCCCCCTGCTTGTGTTCCCTCTCTCGCTGTGTCTCTCTGTCAAATAAATAAATAAAATCTTTTTTTTTTTTAAAAAAAAGATTGTTCTCTTTAACCATTTATATGGAATGAAAGAATTCATCTTTTGATTGGCTCATTGTATTATAAACCACATGTCTCAGTTTTTTTTCAAACATTGTACTGTAGTCAAATACTAAATCATAACTGCACATAGCCTGGCTTTTACTAAAAAAAAGTGCTTTATAACTTCTCTAAAGAACAGATTGTGTTTTACACTTCCAACACGCTGCCTTCCGTTCCTGCTGGTCCCTGTTGAATTTCCAGTGTTCACTATGACTTAATGTTAGGATGAGGGGCTGAAGAATTATCAGCTGATTACAGCAACCAGTTGTGCTTTCTTAGCTATCAAGAATTCCCTATGTCAACAGATCTGTCTCCTCTTTTACGCCTTAGTTTCCATTTTGTATGAGGGCTATCCTGTTTTATAGTGATAGAATTTATAGCATCTGTTGTCCTTGCTCATCTGTGATTACAGGAGATGGTTTAGAACAGTGGTTCTCAAAGTCGAGTTCATAGACCAGCAGCTTGTGAGCTTGTCAGAAATGCACGTTCATGGACTCCCCCCCACCCCCAATCCCAACCTAATGAATCATGATCTGTGAAGCTAGAGCCCAGGAGGCTGTGTTTTAACAAGCTGTCTAAGTGTTTCTTATGAACGTTAAAGTTTGAGACCCATTGGTTTAGAGCAAGGAATGCAAACTTTATGTAAAGGACCAAATAATAAGTATTTTTGGCTTTGCAGACCATACAGGCTCTGTCACAGCTATTCAACTCTGCAGTTGTAGCAAAACAGCCATAAACAATATGTAAACAAATGAGTGTGGATGTGTTTTCAGTAAAACTTTATTTACAAAAACAGGCAGTGGGTCATTTTTTGGCCCACAGGCTGTAGTTTGCTCGACCTGGTTTAAGGTATTTGAAAGTGTTCTTAAGGATTATACACACACAGTATGTAATAAGTAAACATTATTGTTCATTCTTGTTAATATGTTACCTGAGCTGTATGTTATTTACTTTCTACATAAATTTTTCTTAGGCCACATTTATCACAGACCACTGACTGGGATATTCTGGTTCTTCGATTTTGTTTCAGAGATTGCTTGAAATGAGGGACTTTAGTTTTTTCTTTTGTTTATTGGAAGCTGAAGTCATTTGTATTTCAAAGAGTGAATTTACAGTTCTGAGTAGTAACTCGGCTTGGTAACGAAAAGGGTGTTGTGCTGCCTCACTCTCCCGAGTAGAAAAACAAATGGCTTCTGGGTTTCCATTGTGTTCCTTTTTGTTTCGTATCTAGAGCATTGTTTCCCAAATTGTGAGGTTGATGTCCCTGGAGAGACTGATTTTGTCCAGAAAGAGCTGAGACTGATCTAGGGAAAATGGAAACAGGAATATTGTATTTTTCTTTTTGAATCGCCTTCATGGAGGTCTAGGCAAAAGCAAAGTCATGTATTGTGTTTGGAACAGCATGTGGCCCTTCCACTTTTGAACAGTCTAAAGGGAAGTAAGCCAAAAAAACCTCTTTTCCTTTCCACCTGTTAATATGCACCACTAAAATGTCTCTCTATCCAATTAAAAATAAAGGAATGGAGAGAAACTGTATAAACAAACTTCTAAGGAAAAAAACCTATTTCTGCTAGGCAGTGATTTTTAAACATTTTCACTTTCCTGCTTTTAGAAGAGTCTGGTGGGCCCCTTCATTTCCTCCTTATTCTCTACTCTTACATCTCCGTATAGAAGGAAAGAAAATATTTAGTGTGATAACTTTTGTTTTTCAGGAAAGACTTTCTGAATATAGCTGTAACTATTCTGAAAGTAAGTTGTTGAGTCTTTCAAAATGAAACAGATATTGAAATGTGTTCCAAGTCCGTGTGTGATTAGTGGCTACCTTTGTATTTTAAATGTAGAACTCACAAACTTAACTTCCTTTGTGATACTGTGTTATAGTAGTGATGTAGGAAAGTTGTTAGGGTTCAGAGCCAAGGGCCAAGAAAGAATTCTTGAGACGTCTTTGATGGAAAAAGGTTGTTTTGTTAAAGCACGGGGACAGGAGTGTAGAAAGAGCTGCATTGGGTCATGAGGAATGGCTCATTTTATACTTTCAAGTTGGGAGGGGGTTAGGGATAGCCTAAGCCTCCCAGGTATTTTGGAAACAAGGATCCAGAGCGGGGCTAGCTATTGTTAGGAAAAGGTCATTTATTACTCTTTGGTAAAAACTCAGTCATGAGACTCTTCAGATATATTTCAGCAGGTCATAT